TTTCATAGGCAGCTGAACTTCTGTGCCTGATAGTTGCTGCTAAACATGGTGACAAAAAGCTCTTTTGTTTAACAATTATTTTTGTTGCATTTTTATACAGTAAGACTATTTTTGACATATACAGATTAACCAGCTACACACTGAGACTGAAAACCACACCTTGAAATCCTTCAATAGGATGTTACCATCCCAGCTGTATAATTATACACTTTTAAGATCATATGACAGCTCCAGACACATTGCAATTAATTTTTTAATGGAAGCTATCACCATACAATGACATGATTTTATGCTCGCAATTTTTGCTCACACAATTTTTGTTGAAATAAAGAATCCTTGAGCATACACATACAAGTTATTACTACAGTGATTCCACCACAATCTTTTTGAAATCACCTGTGCACTGACCCTTCAGGATTTTCAGAAACTACCAGGATTGTAATAAACTGCTGCTCAGTGGATTTACATTTCTTACCAGGAGCTCAAATAGTGTTTTGCCCCAAATTACATATATAAGGATTTGTTTACAGAGGTTGAAAGATAACTTTATTTGAATGGATAAAATAAGATCCTGCAAGAGCTGAATTATTATTTCAAAAATTAAAAGTAGATTAACAGACAAAAAAAATACCCATAGACTCAGGAATGATTAATCAGACTTCATTTCTCACAAATTCTACAGGGCAGGACAGAAGTCACACTATAAGCTTAGATCATACACTTAAATGCATTTCTGCATTTTTAATTCTCTTACAGAGATGTGCATTTTCTTCTAGATAGCAAATTTAAAATGCATTAAAGAAAAACAGGAAAACAAAGCTGAATATATCAAATTGCTACCATATGCTGAAACAGCACCTACCTGAAAGCAGCCACTACAGACTTCAAGCAGTACTTTCCCAAGAAGGAAGATTCATATGTTTCTGCCAACTGACAATGAAATAGTAGTAAAAGAAAATAGAAAATTATATTGGAATGCCAACATAATCGCTAATACTATAAAAAGTGCTTGTCTTTTTCATTCTTTCCTCTTCCTCGCCACCCTCCCCCACATTACAAGCACTGTCCATAATTTTCACAAATGTATCAAATAAGGATCATAAATGTGCATTAAATTCCCCTAAAAATTTGCTTTTCCACATCACATTTCAAGGCCATTGAGACAGTTCTTGATAACTAGTTGTGAAAAAAGTCTTTATGAATACATTTATATTTTTGTTTCAGTCTTTAAACTTCCAGAATCACTAACTTGTATTGGCTATGCACAAACCAGCTTTGAGACACTAGATTAGTTGTTTTGGGAAATACAAGCTAACAGAGAACAGCTTTGTATTCAAAACTGCTGTCCACATGTACCTAGCAAACAGTACTGATCTCACAAAAGGAAACTCATAAGAAGGGCAAGAAACCAAGCACTGTTGTGAGTGATAAGGAAAATTTAAAAAGTGAAGCACTGAATTGGAGGTAAAATTAAAAAGAAAAAGGAAAATGTAAAAGGAAAGGAGTTTGAATAAAGTAAAATAAAACAAACCCCACTCTCCTATTTCCTTCAAGACAAGTAACTTGTCCATAACCCTGAAACCTTATTACCTAGAAAATATTGACCTTACTCTTAAGACACACATCCCCATCTGTCTAGCTGCATTTCTAAATCTGAAAGCTGCCAAGGTTCTTTCTAGCTTTAAACTTACTATTTCCAAGGGAAATAAAAAATGGCTAACCCTAGTCCTCTCCTCATTCCCAACTGCTTCTGTATAAATATTTACAAAATATTGCTCTACTTATGTGGAAACTTACATAATTTTGGATTGCATTTGTTTGCAGGATGAACTTCTGTTATGTTGGATCATTGAGGTCATTTGTAAAAGTCAAATTAGGAATTTCTACACTTCCACTGATAAAAATAAAGGAAAAAGCTGGAGCTGAGAGAAAAAGAAAAAAAAATTAGCACACCTAATAACGTTACAGAGCAAGATGCTTGCAGAAGTATGTGCTTGTCCTTGGCATTTGCAGGTATTAGCTCTTAAGAGAAACATGTAGTAATAACTAGAGCACTGAGGAAGGGAAGGGAAGGGAAGGGAAGGGAAGGGAAGGGAAGGGAAGGGAAGGGAAGGGAAGGGAAGGGAAGGGAAGGGAAGGGAAGGAAAGGAAAGGAAAGGAAAGGAAAGGAAAGGAAAGGAAAGGAAAGGAAAGGAAAGGAAAGGAAAGGAAAGGAAAGGAAAGGAAAGGAAAGGAAAGGAAAGGAAAGGAAAGGGATAAAGGTTTAGGCAGGTGTTTTTACTAGAAAGATTTCATTGTTAAGTTTCCATTTCTTTTGCAGTACTCTCCTCCTGAAGAGGCATGGCTTTAATGGCTATGTGTTGACATTTGGGAAAGTACATAAACAATTTAAGTACCCATTCTGTTTTTAAAGAAAGTGAAGAGAAAATAGACAAAGAATTCCTATAGGTTCCTGCAAAAGATAACATTTAATACCAATAATGATGGTATTCACAAGCACTGACAAAAAATAATTAGTGATAAAATGCACTTTCAATATTCTTGTGCAACTACTCACTGCTAATTACTGTGTATTTTGTTGCTTTAACAAAGACATTAAGAAGGGAAAGTCAGTAGTTTATATATGCACATTTTGTGCTCAGCTGCTTAGTGCAGAGCTTTTCATAGTGTGAAACATCCATCCCACCTAATCCACGCTGGGGAGTAACACTTGCATGTTAGTGCAGGACTAACATGATTGCTGTAATTGTTAAAGAAACTGTAGGTAATATTCCTAGAAGACATCTCCTCCAGAAACACAACTTCATCCATTTGGAGAAATTATACTTTTGTCACAAACCTTCTTGGTAGGATGGGCAGTAGCAAACATCCAGTCTTTCCTAGAGAAAGACCATGGATGGCATCAGTGTAAAAAAAGAAGAGCTATTGTATCATATTTTCATGTATTTACTCTCATAGTTTTAAAGAGATAAAAATATTGAAAATTGAGATAAGATCTTTCATGTTATCAGCTACATCACACCTGAAACCCTTATCTCTCTGGGCTATTTCCTTTTTGTATGCATCTCAGTCTGGGAAAGTGTGGGGAGGGGGGGAAGGGATTTTTTATAATTTTAGTTAAGAGCAATTTATGAAGAATGGGAGTCAGTGGACACAGGAGTAGACAGAGATAATTTTTTTACTGTGTTCCTACTGCAAAGCTTAGCTGGTGGCTCTTACTTGCCCTGCAGCCGGTTCAGCATCTGGAACTGGAATGCTGTACACAGAAATCCAGCTGGAGGGAAAAGCCTGCAGCATGATGCCATGACAAATGCCTTTTGACAAAGCTAGCAGCAACCCCATAAATGAACCCTGTTTCTTAAACAGAATAGCTGCTCTCCCCACTGCACATCCTGAGCTTCTCTTATTTCACCTTTGCCGTACTGCTTCAACTGGGAGCCAGCTGATTTGCAGTCAAAGAAGGTGGGTAGGAAAAGTTACCATTACTGTAACTCTTTGTTTACCTGACAGGCTAAGTAGGATATGGATCCCATCATTTGAAGATAGATCACTTTGTGAAACACGGGAGTAGGGAAATCATTTATGACACAATACAAAGGACATGCATACATGCAATTTACAGATAAAAGGTCCCAGGGCAATATGAATGAGGCAACTTCTAGTAAACACCCTGGGGAATTAATAGAAATATCTGTAAGAGAGGAGAAATGTTCAGTTCCACATATCACCTTAATTTTCCAGCTTCAAGATGGTACCACAGAATAAATACGGTAAATAAATTGAAAACCAATTTCTGTTCACATTTCCTGTTTGAAAGGAAAAGCTGCTTTAAGTCAGCAAACCATCAAGCTCAGCATGTTATGCTTATAAAATAAGAAAATCAAGGATGTGTGTGGGGAAAGAACATATTTGATACATGTTGAAAGAGAGAGAGAGCACAAAGAACAGAATCTAGAAAAGCAAAAGGAGATGGAGAAATCTCAGCCCCAGAAAAATAATAGAAAGGGAACAAAGGGAATAAAACAAATCTGAACAGTTCATACAGAGATTGCAAAAGGGATTGATTGGAAGGCAATCCTCACAGCTCAGAAATTCAAACTACAGCTGCAGACAGATGGCTTTGTTCAAGTCCTCTGTTTTTCAACAGCCCGTCTCTGCTACACATACAGAACCTGCTGACTGATGCTTTGCCCCTTCCTTCATGGAAAAGGCAAAAAAAGACACCCAGAAAAAGGCCTAGAGGAAACAAACCCACTTTTACATAAATATTATACCAGGTCCTTTTAGAAATAATTGTTTTATTTCATCAAGGACAAGATCATTGCAATAACACACATCACCATATTTATTCATCTTGATAAGGTTGCCTGAAGCTTGAGAATTCAAATTCTTAGGTGGATGAACTTGAAAATAAAGAAATGAAAGCACAAAAGAAAAGTTAGTAGGTCCAAATCATGCAGTTAATTAAAATGAAAGCAGAAGGAATAAGCATGCGACAAATCACATATAGCAGCAGAATTTGTGATCTTCAAAAATTTGGGCCCTATGGGTTTGAAGGGATCGAGTTCACTTTTTACAGTGTCTCCTCTCTCTTTCTCCCCATCAGCTGTCCTTGCTGGAAGAGGTAGTGAAAGTAGTATTTGCCAGAGTGCAAACAGTTCACTGCTACTTCACTGTTACTTCTGTATTAGCTGCACACATCTCAGAAGAAATTATGAGTAAGCCTCAAGCTCTCTGTTTACACAATCAATTGTATCTTCAGCTTCCTGACAGGTGAGTGCACCTGCATTTAGTTGGTGCCTTGAAAACAAAGTTTATTGTTGCACCTCCCCCCATGTCGCCAGACAACTGCGTGAAACAACCATCACAAGGAATAGCCTCCTCCTTTTTCACCAGACCTCAAATCCCTGGTATTCATTAGCCCCATATGTGAGCCAGAATCAGCAAGAGACATGCAAAGAAATTCCACCCGTGAACAGTTCCTCCAAATATGGTTTTAATGAAGATATTCAGGACATGTTTTATTCCAAGGAAACAGTTTTCAAGTTACAAGACTGAAGGTACATATTTGTGTATCCATGGTGCAAAATTTGACACTCTTGTGTAGACACCTGGAAAATTTGGTCTTCCACATCCATAACCCCAGCTCACAATGCCAGTCAAAAACCATTTTCCATCTCCATTGCTTTGACATGACAGTGGTCCACCAGAATCACCCTAAAAATAATGTATCGAGTTATATGTGTTTACAACATGAATTATGAAAACTGGGGAAAAATCCACAGGAGATATTTTGCATAATTCCAGTGATTATATTTTCAAATTCAGATAGTTCAAACAATTGATAGGGGTTTTTTTCAAGTAGATGGCATTGCGCAGTTTTACCAAAGTTTGCTCTTTCACAAGAGAGAAGGTAATTCTCACTCTTTAAAGACACTAATAAAGATATTACTTTGCATGGACTACATTTGAAATTCACTTTTTCCCCCTAACCTTATACTTAACCATAAACCCCAAATCTGCTACGTAACATGTATGCACATTCATAGGTTACACACTAAAACTCAAAAATAGTACACTTTAAAAATATTTTTAAATAAGATAAATACAATTAAGTATTTAATAATTGTATGACTTAGTTCAAATTAAAGGTAAATGGAAACAGATGGAATCCCTAAATTGTTTTTTGTTGGGTTTTTTCTTGATTTTTTTTAAAGAAGGAAAAAGAGCCTAAGGATTGTCCTCTGGTAGATACCAGTCAGCATATAATGTTTAGGGGCCCATAATGTCTTTGTAATTAAAAAGTTAAAATTAAGTCTGTTCTAGACTTCAAAATTTTTTACAGGATCTCATCATGCTGTAATACAGGACAAAGCAACTAGGACTCTTCCTTTACAGCATGTTCTTTTAGAAATACATTGGCGGACCATCAGGTATAAAACCATTTGCCACCATGTGGGGAAAATTTCTTGGACCAAGCTGATACTTCCCTGTAAGGCTCTGCCATACACAGACCATGTCTGAAAGACACCCAGTGGCAAAGTAAACTTTACCAAAATATTGGGTGCAAGAAACAACTTCTAAAAGCAAAAGGTGCATTTGGCAAAATTCAGATGTTTTGCAAGAGAAGTGCCTTCTTGCTAGACGAATATTTTGTTAGAGCTAGAAAACTATTTTGCTTTCACTCTATAGGTTGTTGGGATATGCAGGTTGGAAGGGACCTCTTCCAAGGTGCTAAGGTGCTACTCACTCCTCAGAGTAGGATTAGATTGAATTGCCTCAAAAAAGGTCAAGAATTTAGATGACTTTTTTTCCTTCCATGACAAATAAGATTTCACATTTAGAGAGTAAAATTTGCGAGTTCTCTCCTTCATTCCTAGGACAAAAGTAGAACACCAGCACTTTTCACAAAACAGGAATACCACAATTTGATTAGCTCTAACAACTGCCAGACACAGACACAAATCATTTACCTCTACAAAAATGTAGCCAAAATGATGTCTTTCCCTGGCTATATCTTGAGTGGCCATAAATAAACAAATTCTCCAGTTACTGAAAACAATACTTAATATCAATGGCCTCACTAACCTCTAAAAAACAGCTGGAGCATTATACTCCCTCAGCCATTGTAGGCTCACTCATTTTTATGTAGATCAGTGAAAGTTAGAACATCTTGAAGATTCCAGATCTCCATCATAAAAAAATTGTCTTATTATTATTTCAGCAGTAAATGTACTACTATTTTAGCAGTAAATATGTATGGTTTATATAAGTATACTATAATACAATATGGCATATAAGATCTGTAATATTAAGTGTCTTATAGATATATACAGCATATCTATGGGGTTTTACTACTTTTCACTAGAAGTAAATTCAGTACTTTACATTTATCATCTTTCAGTTTTTCCAGATCAGAAATATCTTACATTTGCAAATTTATGCCTAATTGTCTGCATCTCATCATACAGTCTTGTAGTTCCAAGTTGGAGGTGAGGGATTCTGAAAAGACACAAGCTACTTTCTCAGTTTGTTTTTTTTTTCAGCTGAGAGCCTATTATGCTGAAAATTGCCTGATTTCAACTTGTTATTGGGACATACAGTTTGATTGGCTCTTGGCCTGCAACTGAAATTTAGCGATGTTACTCATGCACATAAAGCAGCAGAACTCTGAAATCACCCACAGAAGAGATTTGCTGACAGGCAATACTTATATTGCTCTTTTTCAGAACTGAAACATATTGACCACAGAGTGGTCTGCCAGTCAACTTTACACCTCCTCATGCAGCAATGAAAGACCAGATAAGTTCTTTGCAGAGTTCACTGAGGTACATACTTTACATCCGTCTCTTTTCCCAGATGATAGCCCAGCACAAAACATCCTAGCTGTGATAATCCCGTATGTGGAATGACATAATGTCTGGTCAATAATTTCTATCTCTGCTTTCTGAAGAACTGCTGAACCTTCATCATCTGGAAAACAAATTCAACAGCATTTTACTCATCTATTGAAATATAAAACAAGAAGTCTTTAGAAAATATCCATAGATACTTTTGACCATTGATTTATTCCAGATTCCAAACAACTAACTGCAACAGAGCAGAAAGCCTCTTCAAACTATCAGTCAGTTGGTTAATGTGATCTGGGTCCTTCAGACACACAAAATACAATGACATAATCACTAGGATTGGCCAAAATGTTTTTTCTTTGTTTTTGTTTTTTGGTTTTTTTCTCCAAAATATCTCAAGACTTCTTCGTTTGCTCTCTTTATTTCAAAAAGGAAACTGAATTTTACAAAGATATTTACACCATCACATGATAGATTTGCCGTGAGGGCAGCATATATGAAGGAGCCAAATTCAAGATTAAGATTATGAGTCAGTTTCAGAATGCAAATTCTCACAGCATAAAGAATCAATTTCCACATTTGCTTCTTTCTATCTGAAAGATTTGGTGAAACACCTCTTTTTTGTAAGGTATATAACTTAATAATAACAGAATTGAACTAAAGTTTCCCCTCCTTTCCATACAGCAGGCCCAATCTCATCACCAGGTGATCCTTTCAAAATCTAGCTATAGCCAAAAAGCCCTCACCCACATACTCAGATATGCAAGCACTGGTTTACATAACGAAACTTTATTTTAGGATTTGATAGAGCTAGTATGTAATAAAGTATACTTTGAAATTATAAAAGATTGATTTGGCACTTGTATTATAGAAGCTGACAAAGGGAATAGAGGGGAAAAGGAAAAAATACACCCTCCTTTTTTTTTTTTTTTTTGAGACATTACATTATCTTTCAAATAACCAGCTTCTTAATTTTACATATGATTAACCAGCAGCCCAAAGAGAAACCACACCATGTGTCCCACACCTCTGAGGGGAAAAGAAGGGAAAGACAACCCTGTGATATTTTGGTGTAAGTGTAGCTCCCTACACTAACAACACAATATGGATGACATTCAGATGCGTGGGACCAGCAGCCAAGTTTCCTAAGTGTACGAAGGTACATGCATACTGCCCCACCTGTGAAGGCTCCTGTAACAAAATCATATCAATGGAAGGAATAAAATTCACCTGCTTCCTGCTTTTGGCCCCAACCTGTTATCCAGCACTTGTCCCCGCTGCGGGCTTTGTGGGAATAGGGAGGTAGGCAGATGGGGTGGATGAGGTGGCCCATGGTGTCCGGCCAGGGTGTGCTCAGCTGCAGCAGTGCGATGTCGTAGTCGTAGTTCCTGCTGTTGTAGTACTCGTGCACTACAATCCGCCGCACTGCAGACACAAACTTGGCACGGCCTTGCATCTGCATGCCCAGATGGGCACGCCATGCTCTGGGGTCAGCCAGCCTGGGTGGGAGCAAACAAAGATGTTTTGTCTTAAAAAAATACCTCAAAACAGTCACTCTCAGCAGGGCTGGGAAAAACAGAACACAGCACCTCCATGCAGTTCAAACTCCGGAACCTAAAGGCACTTGTGGATTCTGGCCATGTTTGGGACCAATATAGAGGGAAGATTGCTTACTTGCCCCCTTGAAAGCAGTGGGCTGCAGACACAAGCCATTCTTTTGATATCACTGATGCTCCACAGTAAGCAGCTCCCACAAAATGAAGGCTGACCTGCCAGGGCCATTCACCTTCCTCAGTGTTTGAGCCACCCACAATCCGAGGGATGAGGTTGCTGATCTTGCTACTGCCACAACCTGCAAGAGATATTTCAGGTTATAATCCCCATTTCCAGTACTTTCCTTTAATGAGGGGGCTTCCCACACATGGCATGAAAGAATATTACACTTTGAAATATTTTGTAATCTATGTCATTCCCCTTTTATAATAATAAAACTTCTCTCTTTGGCTATTCTATTCTATCATGGAAATCAGAGATGACTCCATAAAAAGGCACCAGTCTGGAAATTTTACTGAGTCCCTTTTCCATCTCTGCTACAGAAATTAGCCCGAAATATTTCTTGTGTCAAAAATGTCAAGGGATCCATTGATTTAATAAGCATCACAGTGAATATATACAAATAGGCAAACCCTCATCTCTTTTTGATACTGCCAACCCTGACCTGAAAAGAGACCAACCAGAAAGAAATCCAACATCATCAAAACACTTCTTGCCAAAACAGTGGGAATGATACAAGAAAAATGTATGTGGAGACTGGATATTTATTTGACAAACAAGGTGGTACAATCATTATTTTGTATGGAAATGACTGATTGACAATGTATAATACTAACAGGTGAAGAAGTCATGTCTTAGCACAAAAATCTGAACTCTTAATTAGAAAAGCAAGGAAGAAAGACCCTTCTGTAGAGACTCTCTCCATCCCTAGTGCTTGCACATCTGCTCAGGGGTTTTAGTCCCACGCTCCCACACACAGGTGTTAATATTTCTGGATCCTTTCCTGAACACATCCAGAAAGTCAAATGTAGCTTTAATGTTTCCAAATAAAAATAGGCATGTGGCTAGTCTCTTAAGACATCCTACTGGATCCAAGGCAAGTGCTGACAGATTTGTCATACAGGCAGCAAGCCAGAGACAGCTGAGGGTCAGGCAAAATCCTAAAATGGTTTGGTTTGGAAAGGGAGTTTAAAGATCATCTAGTTGCAACTCCCCCTCCCATGGGCAGGGACACCTTCCCACTAAACCAGATTACTCAGGGTTCTATCCAGCCTGGCCTTGAACAATTTCGGAGAGGAGGCATCAATAGCTTCTCTGGGCAACCTCTGCCAGGGCCTCACCACCCTCACAGTGGAAAATTTCTTCCTTATATCTAAATCTACCCATTTTTATTATAAAGCCATTCCTTCTTGTTCTATCATTACACGCCCTTGTGAAAAGTCCCTCTCCAGCTCTCCTGTAGGCTCTTTTAGGTACTGGAAGGTACAAGGAGCCTTCTTCCTAAAGCTGTCTCTTCTCTAGGCTAAACAACCCCAGCTGTCTCAACCTGTCTTCATAGGAGAGGTGCTCCAGCCCACAGATATCTTCACAAACCTCCTTTGGACTTGTTCCAACACATCCATCTTATGTAATATACTTGAGACCATTCAGTTTAAGCAACTAATCCTAACCCCACTTTTATTGCTATTGCAGTGACAATCATCTGTTTGCTTTACATCAAAACAAACTTAAAAGGTTGCACAGAGATTACTTTAGGAAGATTTAAGAGTAGAACCTGACTTGATGCTATGAAGTATTGGGGTCTTCACCATCTGGAAGAATCAGAGAAATAAAAAGTTTGTGGTTTTTTTCCCATTGCAGCCGTATCACTCTGGAAGTCCAAATACAGTTCAACTTCAATGAAATGCCTGGCATTGCTGCAGACAACAAAAGTCGCTGCCTCCCCAACTAACCAAGTTCATTCTGTAATTAACCCTGATGCCCTAATCCTCAGCACAGCTGCAATAAGCAGTACAGCTTTTTAAGGCTCCCCATAACATTAAGCCCACCCTCCCACAAGAACCTAGCAAGTTCTGAAACTAGATCTGTGGTAAACTGATAGCTGATCATTACCCAACCATCGCAGAGAGAATGCAATAAAAATTTAGTACCTGCAGCCTGACTTGTACCCACTCCAAAACAGGAAGAAATAAAGGTCTTTATTGTGTAAAAAGTTCAAAGTTCAAAAAGATGAATATTTGAAAGGAACTTACTGCAGCTGCTTTCATCACTTCCATCAACACAGTCCACAGTCCCATCACACCTTGCATATTGTTTCCTAATGCAAATGTTATTCCTGCACTTGAATGTGTGGTTGGTGCAGGGAATACCTGAAATAGTTGTGAGGAAAAAAACCCAAAACAATCATTGGCTCAGCTTAATACACGAAGACATGTCTGCACAGATAGAAGATGTGCATATATTAGTAGGTAGGAAGTAATATGACAAAAAAAGCACTTTGGTGGGGATGGCTTAACCTCTAAAGAGAATAAGCTATTCAAATAGAACTGCATCTGTACTTGGGTGTGCATTTACTTGGCCAAGTCCAAGCAAAGTTTTCTTCCCATCCTTTCCCACAGCACTAACACATACAGATATAATAGTGAAAATTAGATTTAGAGTGTAAGGATAGCAAGAGAAAACATCCAGTACTCTTGAAAGGAGCTCTCCTTTGTATTTCAGTATTAAATGTGAAATGAAGGACCGCAGTGAAAGCAGCCTTTTAAACTAGTATCATTAACTAGCCTTATTAACTACTGTATCCAGTAAAACAGCAACGACCAAACCTCATCATTTTCCTGTTTCCCTGTGACTTGCAATAAATGCACTCAAACCCAATCCATTTTTCTTGTCAATGCACAGAAGTATCCTGTAATCATTTAAACAGGTTGTCTTGTGGGAGGAGTAAAAAAGTTTTCTTTTATAAAGTTACTTGCAGAACTTTGCAGTTGTGCTCCCTTTCATAAGACCCTTCCATAGGTCACAGCATCCATTTACTCTAAAAAGTTCAAGAAAGTTCTGATTCAAAATTTTTATTTGTCTAATGCCAAATTTACAGCTTCTGCTAACCTTCTAACCCTGAAAAATATGACAGAGAAACTATCATTTTAATAGTTATTTTACAGATGGTAAAATGGATCTAGGAATTAATTTGCACAGATTATGCAGTAAAGAGATAAAATCTCAGCTTCCCTTTTAAATCCCTAGATTCCCATCATGCACCTGAAGTACTTAATTCTTCTGCCAGTATTTTGCAGAAACAGATGTTCATGGGCTTATTAAAAAGAAATAGTTTAAAATCTGTAACAGCTTGTTTCTAAGTGTATCAGAAGAATTAAACAGAATTATATAGCCCAAGTGAGATTTGACAGTGCCTCTTAACCTTTTGAATGCAGCATCCAGAATTCAAGTCAGGAATGGACAGATGACAAAAGAGAGGAGAAAAGTTATTCAGGAGAACAGCCTTACTGTGGGTGCAGTTCTGCTCATCTTTTCCGTTCTCACAATCACTTACTCCATTGCAGGCAAGCAAGTTGTCCTGTATTGCAAAGCTGGAGTTACAGTTCCACTCAGGGACAACTTTAAAAATATAAGCCAAATCAGGTACAGAAGCATTCCTGTAAGTGCTAACACATCCCCTTCTGACTATGTCTGGATACAACATTCATTCCTTCAAGGATGGGCAATACAAGGCAATACATTCCAATACAAGGATGGGCATCAGTGCCACATTATGCATGGACAAAATAGAGCACAAAGGAGTTCAGTGAGTACCCCAGGTGGTGATGCTTAGTGTCACTCTCATCTACTCTGTGAACCCCTCTTTGTTGTTCCCCCACGAAAAAACCTCACATCAAAATGGCACAGAACTTCATTAATAATTGCCAGCTTTTATCACATATGAAAATACATCCTACTACAGCTATTACTGCACATCTAAATTTCTTCCTCGTGCTCTCCACTGCATATCGTCTTTATTCTTGGTTTTGTCCCTTGCCAATTAACTATGAATTAAGCATTCAAGAGACTGACAGATAGTCTGTACCCAGATGTACAAAGGAAGATGAAAACATATTTTGTTATTCTCATTAAAAAATTTCACCTTGTTTCAGCTGCCTTCTAAGATTAGAGAATACATTCACTGTTTTCCAGTCAAGATCTCTAATAAGTGAATACAAACCACAAGAGAGTTCATCACTTTCATCGAAGCAGTTGTTTATGCCATCACAGCGCTGCATCTGCTGGATGCATAAGCCAGTAGAACACTTGAAATGTCCAGGTGGACATGCTGGAGGTTAAAAGGGGAAAAAAAAAAAACAAAACAACAAAAAAACCAAGCAACCAAACCTCAAGATTTCTTTTTCACAAATATTGCCATCTTGTTTCAATTTACAGTCACTAAGCTGCTCCAAGGAACAATAAAATTGATTTAAATTTAATAGTCTGTATATATTGCCAGCACTTAAATTGAATTCAAATGTTGAAAACTGGGATTTAAAGAAGAGGAAAAAAATATCTCTAAAGTTCCAGTTCAGCTGTTCCTGGAATATGGTACCACAGGCTCTCTAGTTCTGGAACAAATAAGCCAGTGTTTTATGGTGCAACACAAGACTACTTAGAAGGCCATCTTTGTTTTAAAGGACATCTCACTTCCAATAACTAAAATTTGTAGTACTTTGCAACTTTGGTAAATAACCTGTGTTGAGGAGGTGTATGAGCTACATAATTCTGCCTTATAAACTAAAATATCAAATTTCTCCTCTTTTTACATACTCTACATATACATATTGAATAGAGTTCCTCTAATGTGACAATAACTATGTCTAGTAAACACTGCTTTTCTACCACCTTAAAAAGAATATATAAGAGTAACACAGGTGAAAAAGTACCAGTAAACAGGTTGTATTTTACAGACGGGAAAAACTCAAGGTCTCAGAGTTTATTAATTTTTTGAGCTGTTTTTTTCAGCTCAGATTTCAGATTTGCACGCACTGTATATAAATACATGGAAACACTGAAATAAGCAGATGGTTATTTGGTACTCTTTTCATTACCTATAATCCTTATAGCAATAGAAACATTGCAAACAAACTGTTGGGGATTAAAACAAACAGGAACAGACTTCAACTGACTTCACCATGGTTATAGTCATGCAGGAAGCTTTGAGAACTGTGCAGAAGAGAACAGTGTGCATACAGGAAAGCAGAGCATGCTGCACATGCCCGCAAACCTTAGATGCACAGCCTAGAAAGGTCCTTTGTTTGCTAGTCATCTGACTTAGAGAGATTAGAAAAGAAAATTAACTGAAGCCCAACAGGTAATTTCCTGCATAAACTTAATTAGATCCTACTGGACCCAAAAAATGCTACTTCACAGATCTGAAATGCAAAGAGGGGTTGAAAGAGATAAAGTCCATCTTACGCTGGTCGATGTTATAGCTGCCATATTCCACCAGCAGGGGCTTCTCAGAGACCTTGGAACTGCATTGCAACTCCACGCTGACAGCAGAACTTGTAACGTGGAACACTGTTTGGTGATCAACATAGTAACCACAGTACCTGAAAGTGTCCAGGCGAGTTCTAGAGCAGCCTTCACGGAAAACTGCCTTATATACAATTTAAATGTCAACACCACTGAAATTCAGAAATACAGTCAGCTCCCATACATTAATTAAGAACCATAACCAAAACTATTTCTCAGTAGTTACCCAGCCTTCATCCACCATTAACATTATAGAAATTTACTTCTCAATGTCCCACCTTCAAATAAATAGTCCTAAAAAGAATGCCTTGGGTGCACATATACTTTTAATTGCTGTTTTGGCAAAGAGGTTCCTTGGACTTCTGCCTAGGTGCCACTTGATTCAGAGAAACCTAAGTACTTTCTGATGCCAGCAAATATTTAATCCATCCATTTTAAATGAATTTCTAATGTTCCTTTCATCAAATATGCCATTCTCTACCAGGGGATTGGAGGTGGGCCACAAAAAAACTAGATTAAAAAAAGCAAAGAAGAAAAAACAAACCCCAAAGCAAAAAAAAACCCACAACCAAACAAAGCCTCTTTGACAAGGGAAAGGTTGTTGAATCATTATTTTAAAAATGGAGACTGTTTTAGAGGTAGTATATCAGTGAACATCAACAGTACAGGTTGTTCCAGAAGTGGAAATAAAGACTCCCTCCTCTGCTCAACTAAAATGTCTCAAAAATGCAACACTTAAAAGAAAAACATCTGGCTTTAATATTCCTGCCAAAATAAAAGTACATATGAATCTTAAGTAGATTTAAGAGCACAAGTGGCTGTATTGATTTTTAGCAGACTTGGCACACACACTTGTTTGACAGCAGTACAAGGTCACTCACTGACAACAAAATGCACAGAAAGAACAAAAGAAAAAAATGGATTGTTGTATTGTTAAATGGAGCAGTGGACTATTAGCCAGAAGTAAATATTCCCCTTGTGTATTTTTCCACATAAAACATTGCACCAGGACTACTCTTCATGTCACTGAATGGAGAAAAATCGTTCAGTGATTTCCATGTGAACAGATGTCGCCTCAGTGTCCTGAGCATCCCAGTGAGGTCTGCCAAAAGGAATGGACACATTCATATGTTTTCATGTACGCCCTATTTCACTGTACTAAAATCAAACATCTTGTCAACATATCTAGGGGTATCTGTTCCAGCAATGTGAAAAATAAAGGAAGAAAACAATTTTAAAAATAAGACTTCTCTTTGACATCCTGGAAGCAGATACAAAAGTCTGAGTTAATTTTACAACTTCTTACTATAGGAAAACTAATTGTAAAAGAAGGCCCAAACAAAGAAGCAAGCAAACAAACCCTCAAAACCCCCCAAAAAAACCCAAAAAACCCAAAACCGAATCCGAAACCAAACCCACCAAAAGCAAACCAAAAAAAAACCAACACCACCAAACAACAACAAAAACCACAAAAAACCCCCCAAACCAACCAACCAACAAAACAAAAACAAAACAAAAAAAAAACCCAAAAAACCCCAAACCTCAAAAAAACTCACTAACTACAGTCTTGGGTTACAATGTAAGGTGTAACCAAAAGTACATATTTCTACTACCATCTATGTGAGCTGTTAAAATGAGAGAACCCTGATAACTCCCTCTGGGGAGGCAGTCACCACTCTGAGGGGGCCAACTCTGCTAAGTCAAGGACTCCCCAGAATGACTCACAGAATTACATTATCCCATTGTGGAATTCCCTGCCCTGGGGGATATACCAAACAGTCCTGCCTGTATATAATTTGGGGCTTGGGACACCACAATACCACCACTTGATACCCAGAGGACTCTTGACAGCCACCGCTGGATCTCCAGAGAAAGAGGAGACCTTTTCACAGGATCACTGCTTCGACAAGGCTGTATCCATCCTCCAAGGGCACTGCAGCCACCATTTAGTTGGACTGCTTCTCCCACCCTGACCAACAGGGTGTCAGGTTGTATTCTGACTTCCTCTGTTTAGGCCAGTGTTTCTGTACCTCTTCAGTGTTGCCTTTATTGCAATTTTCCTATTAAATTGTATCTCTGACCTGGAAGCTCTTGCAAAATATTCATGTGAAGCTAATTCCTCCTGCTGGTTTGCCTTCAAACCAGTACACCCATCCGCCAAATCAATCAGTGTTGAGTGCAGACTTCCTATAACAGGAAGTCTAATTGTCACCAATTTTAGTGTTTGTCACCAATGCTCCCAACCTAAAACAGCCTGTCAAAGTTCACAGCAAAATGCTGTTTACCAGTCTGATTCCCTTCAAGTAGCTCACAGACATTTTCTACATTTCTTCTTCTGCCAATGACTGACACAGTCTTCCTTCCAACAAACCCTAGCAATATAAAAAACACCAAACAAACAAAAAGCCACAAACAAACAAAGGTAAAGTCTGCATTGAGCCCTTCTCAGACAAATAAAACAAATTCATCTCACCAAAAGCAGAAGAAATTACTGCCCATCTCTGGAAAAGCTGAAACAGGTACATCTCCTTTGTACATTGAGAAAGGCCATATGCTCATGGCATTGGTAAAAGAAAGATACAGGCCCTCAGGAGCCTTTTGCTGGTGTTTTACTGGTCATATATCCAAGTCCAGGGCAAATAGAAGTTGCAAAGCACCATCTGTAACTCTGTGCCATTGCTCCAGAGAGAAACTGATTAAGGGGATCCTGCCCATATGTTGGAGAAGCGAGTAGGATAATTTTTCAGGGGATGAGCAAATTCATGCATGCTGTAGCAGAAACAAGGGGATATTGCACTAACAGTTTTAAGACAAATAAAGCACCTTTGTGTTCACATAAAGCTCTGGTAGTCTCCTCATAAGACACTCCTGGGTATTCCTGCCTCTGAGAATTTTAAGTAAGAAGTTCACCAGCTGTAACTTCTTTGACAAGGCAGTATGTCCACTGGAAGAAAGACAAGGAAGAACTGCATGGTCGTGTTGAGTGTCTCTGGTTAGAGAAAGCTGTCCCTAGAGGTCTGATGGAACCTTATCTGCACCACCTGCTTGTTCACAGTGTTTACTAATATCAGTATCCCAAAGGTTCTTAACCATTTTTATCTAAGATAGCAGAATAAACATCCCGTAGGCTGCAACTGCAAGAGGCTGAAAAATGGGGGTCCCCTGCCTGCCCCCCCCACCCCATTTCATTAACAATTAAAATTTGGAAAACAAAAACAAACAAAAAAAACACCACATCACCACGTTTCATGCTTGAAGTCATATTTTTTCCCCTTCAAAAGTTAATATAGGACAGAAAAATCAAAAGCTCAAAAGCCTTATTTTGAATGAAAAACAGTTGTTCAAAGGAAAGCTCGTCTTGATCTATAACTATAGCCAGCAACTTGCAGCAGAAAGCAGGAACATGTGTTCTTGTGCAGTACTTCAAAAGTAACCCTGAGTGAACTTCTAAGAATCATACCATGGACATTTGATTCTGTGGAACGCATAATTGGCAGGTTTGTCAAAAAGCTGCTCATATTCTTTCAGGATTCTCTGTCAGAGAATTCCTCAGTATGATCCTATTATAATATTTTTCTCCAGATTTTGCCTTTGTTTTTTATCTCAACCATCCCAAATATCAGAAATCTTTCAATTTATTTCGTAAAAAGACCCCCAAAAATCACACAAACAGACTACGTGTGGTGTGTTTGACTGGTGTTTTTATGTACTCATCTAGTCCAGCAACCAATTACCATCAAGGTACAGTTGTCGGAGATTCAAATTGAATTTTCGCTCTATAAATACAACATGCTGTTCAAGAACAGATGAAGCTTTTTCTTCTGTATGTTATTCTTTCATTGTACTCTTAAGGGCCTAATTCACTTAGTTCCAGTAGTGAGTTCAGAAACTTAAGTTTCAAGACTAATCTTACTGAGGTTCCCATTTGAATGAAGTTTAGGGAAAAAAAAAAGGATGTTTTAAATCTAGCCTTGCCTCATCATCCTGTATTCTAAAGATACTGACTTTGAAACTGAGAAAAGCATGGATGGACAATATGCTGGGAAAGCAGTGGCATCTTAATTAAAAACCAGCAGCAATATTTTAATAAAAAATACTTCAAAAACAGTGGTTCCTTGAAAGCTACTTCGTGCAGTTTCTCTTTCAAGAGTCAGTGACATGAATGAGGAAGCAGTTATAGTTCTATTCCAAATCATCTCATTGCAATGGCTTTCACCAAAAAGTTAATTAGATTCATTGTCCTCTTGAGCAATCATAGAATTAAATTACACTTAAAGGGGCTTTAACCGGACCTTGTTTAGTGGCCCCAGAAAACACAGATTTATACACAGATTTATTTTAGAGTTCACAGGACACCAATCTTCATCCAACTCTTTCCATTTCTCTCTCTCCAGAGTACCACAGACTCTTGTCTTCATCTTTCTGGTACTTTTCAGTAGAATATATATTTTTATATATATATGTGTGTGTGTGTGTGTGTATATATATATGTATATATGTATATGTATATATATATATACACACACATATTTTATAAGGATTGTTACATCATCAGCTAAAATGAAAGAATGGTAGGACACCCCAGTGAATTACTTCTGTCCTTGTGGAAGCTTTTTGAGTGAGCTGCAGTAGTAATGTGATGGTTTATTTGGTACCATTACATTAATAATCCATGCAGAGTACTTACATGTGTTCATTAATTTTCCACCATCCTCGCTCACAGCCTTTAATATTCTTCTCACTAATGGTATAGTTATGGAACTTCAGAGCTATACCAAGGCTCTTCTGTGGAGTCTGTTGTGAGCAAGAAAGATAGTGTAAGCAGTCTTCCTTTTCCTTTTGTGGGCATAGACCATAAAAGTGTATAAAGTATTTCAGGAATTACAGAGCTTGGCATTGCCACACTCTGGGAGCTGTGCTGGCTTCACCACCTCAACAGCCAGTGCTTTACACACTTGCCAGCTATTCAGTCCTGAGTCTAGGGTTGACACAGGCCCACCACAGCTGCAGGCTTTCTCCCCCTCTAGCCAATAGTCTTCTCATCTTTAGAGAGCCACTGGCCATAGAAAGCAGCTTTTGTATCAAGATCAAAGCACTCAAACACATCCAAATGTACTTGTGTAGGGACACAGAGCCCCAGAGGATTTTTAGAGTTAAGATACTGCCTGGAATACTTGTGTCACATTTGTAATGCTAGGAGTTACTTCTACCACATTATTATAGTCTTCTGCTAGCACCTGCGCAGCCATGCATTCTTTCATATTTTACAGAACATTTCTAAACCCAGCAAAATCACAAGTGTTCATACTTAACTGGAAATTGCTTTCATAAAAAGGAACAGAACCTTTTTTGCACAGCAAAGAAGTGTTCATTTAAAAACAAGAACTGATTCAGGTCAAAAAACCAGAAATGAAAATTTTTCTCCCTCTCTCTTACAGAAAATATAACTGGGGAAATGAGCAAATTTTCAATATTGCAAAAAAATACAACACTGAAAATGAAACTGGTTTGAGCAATAAACCTTTCTATCAGAAGTCCAGGGTGAACTGAAGACTGTAAATTTAGCCCCCCAAAAATCACTTCGTCATTTTAGAAGAGGAAGAGGCTGTAGGCTAGCTGGACTTCATTTATATTGCTGTTATTCATTGTAGTCAGTCACTAGATTAACAAGTCATGAGTACCATAAGCAGAAAGATGGGTAAAAAGTGGATCTTATCATATCCATTGCTACATTCCATAGAGAGGAAAACACTGAAGAGCAAAGCCTGTCAGAGACCTTATTTCAGCAGCACTGATAAGGAAACACTCATGTCAGAGAAAACAGAAGTACTTTAAAACAACATCAACTCTCAGCAATTTGCTTTCAGGAGAGTACATGAAATGATGCAGAAAAAGGATACCAAATTAAACAAACAGCACAGGATTGTGCTGATAGGACAGACCATTCTGAAGACAAACTAAATATATTAGGCATATGAAAAGATACCAGAGAAGTGGCAGTAATAACTAGGTTAGGCTTTTTGTACATACCTTTCATTCAGATTTCTGGGGGTGGGAAGAGAGGAGTTAAAAACATTCAAGTCTTACATTGCCTGCCATGAAGTAATTCTGCAGGCTTAATATCAAAACTCTTAACTCTTCACCTTTGTAATAGGACAGCTTAGATACTATATTCTCTTCCTTAAAAACAAGTGCACAGAAAGAGAAAAAACTGATACAAAACACCCGAGCACAGCCAGCTATTCAGCAATACCATTTCTTTAAACTACTGCATCTGTGAGGATGTAAGTTACTGCCAATTCAATAACTTCTGCTTTACTTAAGCTGTATGTGGCCAAAACACACAGCAGTGCCTAAGAGAGAAAGAATAACGCTACCTGGAAGTTCCATGCACACAGGCATTTTGGAGGATAATAGCTTGGGTAATATGGACTTGTGATTCTCCCTTCATAGCCAGTTTCCTCTTTTGTCACTATTGCTTTCCCACACCCTAGGGAAAAAAAATTAAAAGAGGCAAAATTTGGCAAACCTTAATATACTTTCAGTAAAGCTATTCAGTGGGCTAAAGCATCCAAATTTATCAGAAGTCTGTCACTGCAAAGCTGGGCAGGTCAGGAATTATGTTTAGCTGGATTCAAGTTGTAAAAAGGGACCCTTCCCAGTAGTGCACACAGAAGACAGAGGCTGTAAATATCCAGGGATGAGTGCTAGTCTCTGCAGGACCAGAAGAACACACTGTAAATCTATGTTACTTCACTGAAGACAGTTTTGCAAACAAGAATGCCAATACATCCACACTGCAGTACTACACAGGGACCTCTAGTCTTAGAAAGCAGCTAACTAGAAGTGAAGTAGACAATATACTAAACTAATCAGCTTCCTGGAAACCAAACTTTCTTGGATGACAGCTCAATGGATTTATGGAATTCATTAAAGACAAACTTGCACACGCAGAGAAACAAAGAAAACTTCAACTTGAACTTAAAGAAAAGCCAACCAACCCACAGCCCATGCAGAATAGATCTTGAAGTTAATTATTATGGAGAATTTATCACATGTTTTTATGATGATATTTTAATGCTTAATTACTCAACATTAAAAGTATGCAGCATCTTTTTTAGCAGCTTGAATTTCCTTGCACTGAGTTGTGTGAGATTTTTCTTGGGCCACTAGCATGATATTCCTTGCACTATTTGTGATTATGATCTCATAATTTCTTAAAGATTAAAGCAATAAAGACATGAGCTTGATGCACAAACGTTACAGACTCTTTTGTGTTCCTGAGGAGGCAGGGGCTGATAGCAAATTCAGACAAAACAACTGAAGTTTTGTTTTCTGGAAGCAGTTTTTAGTGCTGTCATCCTTCCGCTTTTAACATGATCCCCGAGTCCCAAGGCAGAAGGGCGACCACTGCTACACCTGAAATAATAGCCCCATCTACTGGCACACTGCAGTCCTCGCCAACTGAATTCAGGGCTGCTTTCAGCCTCTTGTATTCATACTTCACAACCAGTCTGATCGGATTACATTACTCAATAGGAGTAATGCAAAGAAGGTGAAAGGGAGACAGGCACTTGTAAAAAGGAGAAACTCAGATACAGGAATCATTTTGCCATAGTCAGAAACATGACAGACACTTCAGAAGAAGAAACAATATAATAAACACACTTCCAAACACAGAACAAACCTACTTTCTTGTGTAATGACCTCAAAATAGCCATGGAATTCCTTTTGCTCCTTTACTTGTGCTGCCTTAAATATTACCAGCATGAGATTATTTGTGGACACAAGTGACACCAATGAATCAGCTGGTTCACAGGCTCTGAGGGAGAAGAAAGAAGAGCAAATACATAATTAACACATTATTCTCACTCTATGCATAAATTTTCCACTGGTTCAGATCTTACCTCCTTCAAAGTCCAGTCAAATCTCCATGCTCTTGAACAAAAATGCACCTGTTACAAGGGCAGTTTAAAACTCAATAATGGAAATTCTTCTTACAAAAATGAAGGAAATGGCATGAAAATTAATATGGAATGTTTCACTCTATGAGATGATGACTTCCAGCCTTCACTTCCAGTAAAAATGAATGAAGAAAAAATTAACAAAAAGCTTGAAGAAAAATCTTATTTTATTAGACCAACAGTGTTATCTTCTTATTGGGGAGTGGGAAAGACAAGAAAGTTATTCTTCAAGTCAGAAATTAAGAACCTAAGCAAATCAAGTACTCTCATTAAAAAAAAAAAAAAAAAAAAATTACTTTCCATATGCATTACCTAGCAGACATCTTCAGTCCTCTACAGATACTAACATGTGAGTGAACACCATTCAAGTCAATTGGAAATACAGATTAGTACAGGACAGCTCTCAAAAAGGACTGAAAAGTCAATGCTCCAGTTTTGAGGCTTATCCACAGACTGAAATAGCAGAGAAAAGGTTTCAGAAGTGAAAATGCTGAGCATTTGCCTTCTTCATGGAGGTGGTGCTGTTTCCTTTTGACTTACAGAGTCCTATGGAATTAATTATCAGGGATTTAAAAGAAAAAGTTCCTAAACGAGCATAATGGATCAATAAAGAGAGAGAAGACCAAGAAAAAAAGTGGTAGTCCACATCCCTCAACCCATCACAGCTTCAAGTCAAGATTTTCATAGCCCTCTAAACAAATAGAGCAGATTAAAAAAGCACTGAACTAGTGAGTGCCAGTTAATGAAAATCACAAGACTTAGTTTCAGAACTTGAGTCTTTATCTGAAAAGCACTAATCTTAATACAGAGTAGCTTGCTTAAGGGAGGAAATTTTGACATTCTCTTTCAGTCAGCATCTCTTTCCTGATAAGAAACAGAAATTTTTGCCCAGTAGTGCACAAATTTTTCATAGTTCTGTAGCTAGGTGAAGATGCACTCCAGTTGAAAAAAAAAAGAGAAAAAAATTGAAGAAAATTTTCCCTTTTATTAGCAAGATAACTTATCCAAGAAATTTTAATTTGTCAGGTGTTGTGTGAGTAATACATGAAGATCAGAACAGTTTTAACAAAACCAAACTAACCAAAAAATGAAGATGATAGGTCTTCAGAAAAAAACCCAAAAGTTGTCAATTAATTCTTAATAGAAATTTATACTCACCGATAGAGTATCTTATCTTTGATTGGCATCAGAGAATCATAAATGGTGAGCGAATCAGTGATGCAGTTATCTGCTTCAATCTGAAGGGATACTATGGAAAGGCGGACAAGGTGGCCCACAGAGGCAATAAGCTTAAAATAGCAGATTGTTCCCTCTGAGGTAGCTTGAGTATCCAGAGGAAAGTGCTCATGTAGTTGGTCAGCATAGAGATCATACATGCAATTTGTTCCTGTGAAAATGTCACATTTTCAACACTGGACACAATCACTCCAAAACTCCTAAATCCACATGGCATTAAAACAAAAAACCCTAAAACTTGTGTTAAACTAAAGCAAATTATGAAGGCATATCTAACTTGGAAAACAAAGTAATAATAGAATTATAGAGTGGTTTGGGTTGTAAGAGATGATCTAGTTCCAAATTCTCTGTCATGACAGGGATACCTTCCACTCCACCAGGTTGTCCAAACCCCCATCCAACCCAGCCTCAGACACGTCCAAAGGGCATCTACAGCTGTTCTGGGCAACCACCCTTACAATAAAGAATTTTTTCTTACCCTAAACCCAAACTTATCCTTTTTCAGGTTAAAACCATTCCCCTTTGACCTTGTGAAGCCTCCCTTTCTGGCTGTTTGTGTCATTCACTGCTTTCATCTTAGATAAAATTTTGTGGTCCAAGAACAGTCTATTTATAACAAGTACAGAGCATGGCCAACAGTGCTGTTGCCAGGGTATTTTCTTGCAGGGTATTTTCACTAAAGCAGTGCCATTTTGTACAATTTGCAGTTAAAGTTCTGCAGAGTCTCTAAAGGATAAATTACTTAATTCTTCACTGGGACATACTCATCTACTTTCAAAGCATAAATGTACTGCTTGCCCCTGTGGACATTAGGATATTTAAAATACATAAAACAAAATCAAAGGAAAAATACAGTTGCATGTCTGTATGCCCCCAGATTTTTTATTGATCAAATGTCAGGGTTCTCAATGTTTTATCATGACATGAGCTAGAAGTGCTAGTAACAAATTCAGATTCACCAAGTCCTTTAGTTTGGAAGGGATGCTAGGAGTTTTCTTGCTCAACATTCTGCTCAAAGCAGGATCAAAATGAATTCAGACCAGGACTTTGTTCTGCCCAGTCTTGAAAATTTTTGCTGTGCTAGAAATCACCATTAGAAATGGAAACACTGGAAACAAATGGAAACAATGGAAATAAAAATTATGCAACTTACCCTACACAACATTTATTTTAAAAAGGGTAAAAATTTGTCATAATTTAGACAAGGATAATAAAAATATTACCCTACTTGCATCCAATTTTCCAATTAAGCGGGAACAACTGCAATTTCCAAATAAAATATATTGAGGTCCTTATTTCAATTCAATATTGCAGTTAGCAGTCAGCAAAATGCTTAAGGAATTTTTGTTTGGTCATGTCTAAAACTCTTAACATAGCTCTTTAAAAAGGTGAGAAGGAAGAAAAATGCAAATTAGGGAGAATAAGATCAAAAGTGAGTATTTGCTCTAATTTCTGCCTATTACAAACATAAGTCTCTCAAATAGTTACCATCATGGAACACCAATTAAGAGCACTGTGAAAGTTTACTACCAATTGTTGACTCAAATTAAATGTTGACCTTTTAACCAGTAGCTAATCAAGACAGGAAGTGGCAGGCTTTGTCCAACTTCCACTTTTAAATTACAATCTTGAAACTACGATTGAATGTAACATGAAACTAATGCTATGAATGTTTATGAACAATCTGTAAGGGTCACATTCCATTTAAATGAATTACAGTTAAAAGCTTTGTTTAAGTAATTCTTCTTCCTTCTTCCTTGTTCTTATCTCTTCACAACAACATTATTTTTATAATAGTTATTTGTGCTTATCTAGTCACCCTTAGCAGAACCAACTTTGATCATAATCTCTAAAATTATATGTAACTACCATTATTTCTACTAAGTAATTAATAATGGGATAAGGTCGCTGCTGCTATGGGGCACAGTCAAATACAGACCTGACTCTAGAACTACAAGTAGTTGAAGCATGCTGGGTTGAAACCAAAGCTGGATAAAGTCTTTACCCAAGGAAACCCAGCACAATCAGATATTATGGCAATGCAAGAACCTCACATCAGCTGGATGTCCACAAGTCCCTTCTCCAGCACCACTCTTCAATAAATCTGCACTCCATTCTGTACCTGAACCAAACACTGGGTTCATCTCCATACCCAAAGTTCATACCCATTCCTCTCAAAATATAGCCTGCCAATGCTCATTCATTTTGTGCTGCTGCATGTTCACTTTTACCTCCGCATCATATTCTATAGTCCTAAACAGACACAGCCAAAGAACCCCAGCAAATAAAATTGCACCAGTATAAGATTCTCATGTGCTGTGGCCATCCATGCTGTTTGTCCCCAAACGTCATTATATACCCACTCCACACTTCCCACAGATACCATCTGAAACCTGTGGGTACCTATACAAAGTCTCTGAAAGATGTCTAGAATATGGCAGGTCATCCTTCTCCCTTTGTGTAAAAGACACCATGTAAGTCCTACAAAGCCTTAGCAACAATATTTGTGTTGCGTTCTTCTTAATTTCTTCTCTTTTAGGGGCTGCATTCTGGAATAAATTGGAACCATGTTCCAACTGTGCTAACTTCTCCACCCTGGAACAGGGAAATGGGAAATGAAATTGCTATGCAAATAAACACCAATACGTAAAACTCTTTAGAGAAATAAAATGCACATTAATGAGATGTGATAGAAGCCAATATTGTTATGCTTTGCAGTTTAAATTGGGAGGCTTATACAAATGAATGATATAGCAAACTTGACTTGAGTTTTGAGAAATTATGGGCTGTTAGCAATATAAACATTGGACCATGCTCTGTGACCTGAAGTCTGCCTGTGGACCTCAGAACTAGCAGAGCTTGACTTGGCTGCATGGCAAAAGTAGTTGGATTCCAAAAAAAAAAAAAAAAAAAAAGCAAACTAAAACCTTTACAAGGTAACAGAAGTGAAAAATCACAGGTAGAAGTGCAACCAAATGTTTCAGGAAAGAAAAACACAAACATGGAAAGATATAAAGCCCTTGAAAAACCAAAAAATTGAGATTTCTCAAGGGAGGCCAACACACCCCAGCTGATTGATAACTGTTGGCACAACAGAGTCTTAGCAGGTGTCCCCATCAGAGGTGCAGTACTATTGCTCAGCCTAGTAACACCTTTTTTCTAGATGCCTGCTCCATGTACTATTGAAGGTAGATGTACTGTACTTTTGACCTGCTTATTCAGTGCTTTGCACACTGAAAAAGAACCCTTCTGGGAGGTTTACAAAATGAAGCCAAGCAGGTGTACAAACAAAATGTGTGTCTCCCACAACTGTGGCAAAACTCAACTGCCTAAAGTAATTACTGTTAGGGAATTCATTCAAAGGAATAACTCACCATTAACCTTGGAGAAAAGGGAGTTAAGGTGAATAAAGAATGGACAAAAGTATGGACAACACATGCTCTTTTTCAGCATATTAAATTCATTACTGTCCAGTTAAGAAAAGGTTAATCTGCTGGTCAACACAATTAATAGCAAACACCTGATTTAGTTAGTTTCCTACTATGTCACCAGGTACATCTAAAAATTTACCAGGCAGATTAAAGGTAGATAGTTCCTATATTTGTTACATGCAAGATTCTTGGTCATCCTTTTAGTAAGTCAGGACTTAAATGCCAAGGCTGAATTTAGCCCTCTTAAATTAACACTGAACAGTATCTAAGTCCAAGTCATGAACTAAAAGCTTTGTTCTCCACCTCTCCTCTACAGGAAGCTGCCAAAAGGGTGAATTACCTGTTCCTGTTGTTGACCAATAATCTGACCGAAGACCTGCTGCATAGAAAAAGAGTTGTGTGAGTCCTCTTGTTTGCCTGAAATCCAGAATTCAGGGTTTAATTCAATCACACCTCAGTCTTAACACTGAACACACAGGACAAAACACTTTTCTCATTGAGAGGGGTTGCCCTAGCCCCCTTTATTTCTGAAAATTCTGCAAGCAGCTTTGGAGGTGAGGTAAGAAGATACTGCATGGGAATTAAGCAATCAAAATCAGTTGAAGGACTGAGACAGAGGTACCCTGGACATCATTTTCTGGCTGATGCCCTTAGAATAGAAAGTCATGAAACATTTTGTAGCTTAATACATTAAATATGCTTGAATCACAAGTTGTGAGTTTGTTCCCCGGACAGGAATGGCACAAAAGTTATTTAGCAAATGAGCAACTTATTATAATCTGTTCTTGAATCTTTGATAAAGGACTGATAAGAGTCTCATTTTCAATGAAGGGGTCCACCTTAACCCTTCGTGTTTTTATGGTTTTAAAATCACAGACTAACCCAAATCTGCCTACAAAGGACTCCATTTTACCTCCTGACTATGAACATAACGACTCCCCATACAGGAAGTTTTGCAATCACGGCTTAAAAGGACAATTTGTACCTTGATTTGACCTCAAATCTCATTTTTATTTTTCTTCATAGTTTTTTTCCTCTATTACAATTTTAGTGATAGAAGCTAGAGATGTAGGATCAAGATTTTAGTTTATTTATAGAATTTTCTACTCCAAAGTAAAAATATTTGCTTAATGAAGTATTTCGTCAAGGATATGTTCTAGTACTAACCACTTAGGACAATGGAATCCATGTCGACTGCAAGGCCCTGAAGACTTCCCACTGAAGTCCGGTTGATGATACTTGTCTGAATGGAATCCTTTAAAATGGCAGCCACACAATCCTCACACAGCACTTGCCCCTTCGCCTGTGGTACCACAAATACGATCCAGAAATGAATAAGAAGGCCTCCATTGTTGTTGTTACTGAAATAAAGAGCACAGGTTATCACCACCCTGTTGGAAGTCCTCTGAAGACAAGACTCTTAGCCCAAGCTTCTGAAGCATAAACTCAGAAGTGCATGGCTCATTTCCATATTTTATAATTACTTTAACCCAGTGAATGTATATTTTACCCTTAAAGAAACAAACAAACAAGACAAATCTCAAAACACCAAAACACATCCAGTTGGCTCTTCACATCCACTTGGCAATATTCAGTAGGCTGATTTCCTGAGGGCTCCTAACTGTGGAGATTCTATGGAAATCACATTGTCTCCACATGAATTAGAACTAGACTATTTCCTAAAGATCAAAACAGAAATAGTAGAACAGAAACAGTAGAATTATCATCTCCAGAAATGCAGAGCTCTGCAGTAGTATGTATTTCACCCTGCACTGTGTGTTGCAGTATGTAGGAAATGATTCCTAGACTATTTAGGTAACACATTAGAGGCCATGTATGATCACACTAATCTCTACCTCCTTAGTGGGGAGAAAGACCATTAAATCAAACACAGCCCAAAAGTGTCCAGTTTCTGAACCAAAACTGTATTTGGTTCTGGATGATTGAAACTAACTAAACTTCTAACATTAGCTCAAACATGAATATTAGAGTAAGAATACTTTATTGCATAGATTTCCTTCGTCTTAAGTAGAAAATGCTTTTATTCCAGTAACATAACTCACAAAATATGTGTGATTTAATCAATAACACAGAGTTGTGCTCCAACAGCATGTTTAAGTGGTTAAACTTCTACATGAGCCAAAGGATTACCAAACCTCTTAACTGACATTGTTTCTGTTCATCTTGCATTGTATTTCTGGCAGACAAGGAACTGTTTATATGACTTTAGTTTGGCCTTACTTTTGTTAAGTGAATTGGTATAGGTTATAAACCTATTTTGCTATCAGTTCAAGTACATAGCAAAGACATTGAATTATAACTATTAAAAATAAGCTTGTTTTGTGGGTTTAGTACATTATCTACTGCCCAGCAGAAATGCAATTACTTTAACCACAGTTTTACCTGACTTCTGAGACAGTGGACTGCTTGTAAAATTTGGAGAAAGAAGAAGTTGTGTAAACCAAGTTCATCTGAAAGACAAAGTATAAAGATTTAGCATTCTGAAAACCAGTTACCCCTAGAGATGCTATATGCCTAGGCTTTTCTAGGAGCAACCTATTTTCCACCAAGATTACGCAACATGCACACACTTCCAGACATACATCAGCCAAGCTAGGCAGAAGAGGAGATGAACAGACCAGCTCTTCAATGCATCTGTAATAAATCCAGTATTCCTAGGAAACAACAAATCTTCTCCCTATGGCCAGTTGGTATATATAATAATACTCTTTCCATATAAATGAATTATGACAACAATGCACATCCTTCATCCAGAAAATCCCAAACACAGAGAGCATCCCTATCCTGCTGCTAAAACTTAAGGCCAAACTTCAAAAAATGTGCACACACTCACAACGCTTTTTGGCGTTGTTACTAATGTGCAGTGAACAGCACATACCACAGCTTTTCCCACAGAATCATAGAAAGACCGAGATAAGAAAGGGCCTCTGGAGAGCATCTAGTACAATCCCACTGCTCAAAGCAGCGTTGACTATACCACATTGCTCAGGGCCATTTCCAGTTTTACCTTTAAGAATGGAGACTCCACACCTTCCCTGGATGAGAACCCCAGTGCTTGATTCCAATCTTAGCTAAGGAATTATCTTTTTTTTAATGTGTCCATGGAATTTTTTGCACTTTGATTCCTTTGTGTCTATTTTCTTCATCAACATCATAGTATTAATATATTTCTTTCCAATAACAGTGTAAAACATGGAGAAGCAAAATCTCTGCCTGTTCCCTGCCAAAGGACTGTCTTTGGGTAAAGCAACCTCCTGATTCTCCCTGTTGCTGGGCTGTGATAATACTGGTGTGACATTAACTTTCCTCTCCCCATCCTGTTCAAAGCCACAAGGTGGCATGTACCTCAAGCTGTTTGGACCTCACTCTGCTACTTTATGATTAAAACTAATGCGCAAAGGACTATGACACAGAATATTGCAAAAACTAAAAATCACATCCATATTAACCCCTAACCTTCATCATTTGAAACAGAAAGTTTAAACAATAATTGTAAGGGCCTAAATAAGGTGGGTAGAGCTCAATTTTGCTCTAGATTAAGGTACAAGAGATTTTATGTATTACTGCTACTATCAAATGGAAAGAACCTATCTTGAGAGGTTTTTCTACCACCACTTGGGGTCTCTGGACCAGAAGCCAGTAACAAAAGGGTTTTGAGGAGAACAAACAAAATCCCAAATCCCCCACTTCCCTACTAACAATTTTAGTCAACAGTTGAGTTTGTCAGTTTCAGCAATTCAAAATCCATTGATGAGTTCAGGCAAAGCTCACAGAAAAAAAATAAATTCCAAGTAATGTTCAAGTAGGAGGTGGTGACACTGGCAGCTCAACACCTTCTCCCTGTTGCCTCTCTCCACTATGTATGACATGGGCAGATCAAGAACAAGACACAGGAAATACAGGACATTAGAGCTGCTCCATGGATAGCAGGGAAAGGTGATGCCCTGCACTGGTTATCTGAAAGAACTTCAACGATTAATATGCAGGACTTGGAAAGAGCTGGAAAACAGGAACATTAGTTCACATTATAAGGTGACAAAAACTTAGTAATTATTGAAAAATTTCTTGGTTTCATCTAACTTTTTTTTTTTTTGTTGTTGTTGTTGGTTTTGTTTAGCAGTTTTCATACAGTCACTTGAATCCTTATGTGGATAGCATTCCTGGCAAAAATGTATTTTTGCTGCCTACACCAAATGTCTTTAAAGTCAAATTCCCATTTTAACCAAGATTCCCCCTCACCCCTTTCTTCCCACTGGAGAGCAGCTATTGATCCAGAGTTCTATTTTTGCTTTGACTGATGCAAGGTATTTGGGAAGTATAATGGTCCTTAGAATACCTTGTATTAGAAGGAAATGTAAATTTCTGTCTGAAATATGTTTGTGATCCCTAGGGCAATTATGGATGTTTTAAGGCAGAAGATACCAGTGTAAATGCAAAAAATTTTGAGATTTTGTCTGTTTGATGTTTCAAAGGTGGCAATTGAGTTTAAGGACTTTTGTAGAATTTTAGTCCCAGATCATAATTTATGGGTGAAAGTATGGAAAATTTTAAGTCAAATGTAAAAACTAGATCCATTCAAAAAGGTTTGCGATTAACAAGCTGAAAGCAGTCAGTTCCTTCATACCTCCAGACAGCTACCGCTTGCACATAATCCTCCAAGAGGGAAGGGGTAGAAGAACACCACAGCAGCCTCAAAGGCATCTAAACATCACTTGTCCACAGCTCTGATCTTTTTTTGCTAACCAAGCAGCCCGCGCATCTTACCACATGCTGTACAGTCTGTGCCATAGAGAGGAATTCCTTTGATTCTTTCTGCCTATATTCTGGAAGAAACTCTATGTTGGTAACACGAAACAGTCCAACAAAATACAATGCATCTTTGTTTTCTGCCTGAACTGCAAGAAACAAAGAAGACAGTTAGCCTTTTTTTAATAACAATGAAGGTTTTTTATTAAATTCTAAACCAAATTAATCTATTTGGCCTAATCAACTTTGTAGTTTGAAACAACTACCCAAAGAACACTACACTTTTATAGCCAAACTGTTCTACATGTGTACCAAATTATGGTTAATGAGCTCCTGTTACCTACACACAAGATAAGATACCACCATACAAACAAGCCAGCATAACTGAAGGCAGTAACAACATCCAGATTCTGAAGCATCTCTAAGGTATCTTAGGCAGTATTAGTATCAGGGGCCTAAAGAGGAAAACATAGCTTTTAATGCTTAATTACACACAAATTTAATTTACTCCCCTTTTACTTCCTTAAATCCATTCTGAAAAAGAATGTACTTATCTGAATCAGAAGGCCAAGAAACACAATGGAAGGCAAAATTTCTGAGGAATCAAGCTCATAAAAACCTGTCAGGTCTGTGCAAATCAGCTTGCACATTAAAATGTTTTTCATACCCCTGAAATAAAGTCACGCTCCCTAAAGCCAGCTTTTCTTATTACTTGTTAAGTCTTAGCAAAGACAAAAGTTTTTCAGACCCCATTTTAAAATTTCCATGTTTACTTTAGAAACAGCCTTCAGGACAACTGAGATCCTAAAGTCATCTGAAAGTACTATTGGCGATAATGATATATAGAGTTGCATGAACTTTCAGCAACTCACCAATGAAGAGCCACAGTAATGTCCATGTTACAACTCCTAAAATGAATAGAATGAGAGCAAAGAGAATTATTTTGTTTTGAAAATTCCATAGCAACTTATCTTTTTTCTTCAATTTGTCATGCTTTTTCCTTGCCAGAATCCTCTTTGCCAACTTGTCTTCTGCAGATACCATTTGGACTGAAATGGTGGCTGCCTAAAATAAGGTGAAAGACAACAGAAATCGTGGAATGTTTCTAGCAGGAATTTACTGATAAACAAGTCTCAACCAATTTGCTCCTCAGAGAAACGTCTCCACTTCCTTCAGGCTGTGGAGCAGTGGCTATGGACAGGCTCTTCCTCCATATCTGGCTCCCTCTGAGAAGTTACCTCCAGTGAACAGGAGAGCACAGCACAGTCTTGCTGAGATGGGACCTGCACAAAATCACCTTGATATCCAAATGCTTGACAGTTTATTTTGAACTACAGTCTCAAATTTTCTAAGCTGGATCCAAAATATGTCCTGATCATCTCATCTAGGTACAAAAGAATACATGACCATTTCTATATTTGCAGGAGTAGTTTCCACTTCCTATAAGGTATCTACATCTTGTCTGTTCTGAAAAGCCCATTTGTATCGGACACCACCACCATGCCTCAGGCATTTTCCTCTGCAAATCAACACATTTAAGCAGACAAAAAATGTTTATCAGTTGCTGTAGGCACAGCAAGAGCTGCCTGAAAAGTCTCTTGCACTTCATAAAAGTATGTCTTTAGGGTATCTCCTGTCACAGTCAAATGGTTTGTTGTGAGATCAGCTAGAGATTCAATCACATTTCTCAAGTAAATTCATCGTTTTATCTCTTCAGAGTTTAGCTGGCAAACTCCTGGACCACTCAGAGTATTACTGACCACGTGTACTAGATATGAATACTGTTTTAGCTGTTACACCCAGCTGCACCAGAATAAAATTACAAGAAAAAACAAAAACCAAAACCCCCACAACAAAACCCCAACAAACCCTAACCCACCACGCATTTCCTCCTTACATAAAAATTATAGCATAAGTTAGATAATATTGCTACATAAACAAGGCGCATTCACGAAAAATACTCTAAAAGCATGTTGATGCCAGTGAGAGGGAAGCTCTCAAGGAGTGGCTTTAGGTAGCTGTGGCTTGTCCATGACTGGAGGTGTTGACAAATACCAGTCAGCAATCAGCAGCAAGGGTTTCAGTGCACAGTCTTTTATAAAGCACAAAACAGTCTTAGACAAAATGACGTGGCTCAGGAGCTCATATATATGAAGATTAAACTGAACTTCATCAAGATGAAGACCAAAAAAATAGATTTTTTCCCTTGGTTTTGGAACAGCTAGATTCATTTTAATGGCATCTTCAAAGCGTGTCTCCCTCGCCTCACAGCTGAATTTATGCCACTCAGAGGCCTCTCTATGTGGAACATCATTTCTAAGGAGCGCAAATCAAAAATGGCCTCTGACAATGGCCTGGTCTATGAACATAACTGGTCTGTGATGTGCTCAAGATGCTGACAGCCTCACTCTGAGGGACAAACTGCTGTCCTATCACCTGTCTCCTTCTGCGCCCACACAAAAATACACTGAGGAATTCATACTCACTCTTGAAGATACACACTGCCCCTGTCTTGGGGAGATCTAGCTGTTCCCTGTGCTCAATAGGCCTCTGCAGAGCTACAGCAGGTAGATGATGAGGAGAAAGTGTGCAACAAGATGCCCACCTATTTACCAGCACTGCATTGTTTGAAGCCTCTCAGAAGGTACCCTGCAAAGAGTGTGTGATCTGTTGTTGACTAAAATGTGTGGACACAACTGTAATTTTTCATCCATACTAATTATATTACACTTGATCAGAAAAAGAACATGAAAGTCAGGAAACAACCAGCTGAGAATTTCACTCTTCAGTTTTCAGTGTAGGATGTCAAATTTAATACAGTGGCTACAAAAACTCTGTGCTGATGGAGCTTGACACACAGGAAATGACAAGCACAACTACCAGCAATTTGCAAAAGGGGTTGTGAAATAACCTACAATAAATGCTTCTTTCCTTTTGCTCAACAGTAGGAGATGCCCATCTGTGTTTTGGGCCAATCAGGATATGAGAGATATTGATTATCCAGAGTGATTCCAGGGGAAGATCACAGAGGTAGGGAGCTGGAGGATATGATGTACAGCAAAAAGCTGAGAGCCTTAGGGTTGTTCAGCGGGAGACAAGAAGGCAAAGACAGTGTGAGTAAATCTAATTCTAGATTTCCATTTCTAAAGTGGGCTATGGAGAAGGCAGAGCCACACTTTCCTCACAGGTGCACAATGAAGAGAGAGCCACAACAGCCACACACAGCAGCAGGGGACATTCTAGCTGCACTGTGGGAGGGGGAAGAATGTATTTCACCACAAAGGCCATGCACCTGGGCCATGCCCAGAGAGGTCAGGGAACCCCCATGCCTGGAGTTATTCAAACCTCAGAGGATCAATGTTCCAAGAAATCTGTCTTTGTTTTGATGTTAGCCCTGTTCTCAAAAAAAATTAAACACTTGTAGAAGTCTTCTCCAACATATTTTTGATACACTTCTCTGATATTATGCACTAGTAATACTATCAAGAAGAGACCTCTGTGTATCCTCAGAGGAAGCATAAGAAACATCCCCACAACTATCCTGCTGGTCCCATAGTCAAATGCAACAGATAGCAATCTTTGATCTCAGGGTGGAGGATGTTCTAAAAGGAGAAGAAAACATGGTAATAATTAATAACAAGTAGAGTTAAAAGACTAAGTATGACCCTCTACAGTTTCCTCAAACAAAATCTTTAAACACAGAATTGGAACATTTCAGATTCATGTCTTCTATCTAGGTAATGAAGTGCTCTTGTTTTGTGCGCTCTCCACTTGATTTACCCATCTTCTTTATTTTTTACAAACTTTATTGAGTCTCTTTAAGGATGAAAACGAACATTTGTTTAAAGCTCTGGATTGTCACAAAGTTCCTTTATACTCTTAGGTGTTCAGTAGGCCAGCTGGAGGCAGTTCAATGAATGCTGAGTTCTGACATCTGAAATTTCATCAAGAAATGAAATTTCGTTTCTTTCACTTTCATCAAGATTCTCACAATAATATTTTATATTAACATTTTCCCATGTAACTCCTTTTTGTGGCTCTAGACCTAAACAGACAGATTTATTATTAAAAATTAAATCCTGTCAAGTATTGTTAAAAATTACTCAAAACTGACATCACTGGATATATAAGTGGGCACTTGAAACAACTGATGTCTTCATTTCATCTACTGTAATCCTCATCTTATGCTTTTAAAATAAACCAATTAGTGTATCAAGCTTTCCAGGACAAAGTTCTCTGTTACATGGGATTCATAGGAATATTGAAAGCTGTGTGCTACATTATCAGTATTTTCATAGGTTTTATTAATTTACCATAAACCTTTTACAGTAAGGAAAGCAACAGCAAAGTTAAGCTGCTCCCTTCCCTCAGTAAGGACCATAATTCTCAATCCAGCTTTCCTCTACTGCAACTTAGTTCTTGTAGTCTAGAACTGCTTTCCAGCTAGCATTACAATTTGACTATCACCATACACCAAATTATATAATTACATCTTTTTCATGAGTTAGCACTCATACAACAATCCCCTTCTCTATTTTCTCTGGGAAAAGCAAAACACTTTGCCTCCTTTAATGTTGCCTTTCTTGCCTAGAAGTTAACTTTTTTTGAAAAACACGCTTCATGACACCAATATAAGCTTTTATGTTGTCACACTGACATGTCCATTATTTCAATTGTCTGAAAATATATAACATTAGCAATCCAGGGATAAACACATGTTGACATTTTCAGACTGAGCTATAAACCAGAAAATTATACCAAATCTAACCATCATATTAAATTTAATACTTGAGAATTATATCACAAGACATCTAATAATGTCAAGAAGCATAGAAAATCAAGAATGTTTAAGTCACCTACTTCATTTACTTCAGCTTCAGGTTTAGCTGTTGGGGAATAATTTTTTTCATCCATTTCAGCAGAATTAATTTTATGACTTGTCCAAGCTAAGATAGAGCACCTTTCCTCAGGCACCCTTTCTGCTTGTGAAGCTGAAGACAGCTAATTGCAAGGTCCAGGACCAAAAGAGGCATCAATTTACTTCAATGAGTATCCAATTGTAATCTCATCTGCCCTACTGCACCTTTGCAAATGTTAGAAGACTGCTATCATGTAACTTCAGGCTTTTCATGGTCTTTATAAAGCTGAAATAATAAAATACAAAACTGCAGTGCTAAAATCTATACATTACTGATCCTCATGGGCCCTTACCAATTCAGCATATTCTATGATTCTGTGAAAATGTCAAAACATTACTTGCATGAACAAGAAAAGCAGCAAGCAAAATGTAAAAGTGAGAGCAAAAACATGCTAAAATAAGGAAAATAAATGTAAGCACCCTAAGTAATAGTGTTGAAAATCGCAGATAACAACAGCCAATCAAGATGAGCATTTGGACTATCTTCTAAAATTTTGTAATGTACACTGTTGAACACTCAAATTTGCTTCTTTTATTATAACTGAAAAATAAACTGCTTCAGGCAACTTACTTCATAGTATTAAAATAGATCAGGCTTCAAACTGAGAATTCTTTTTGTAAACAGATGCAGGAAGTCACTTGTATTAGAACAGTTCTGTCCTATTGTCTTTGTTAATGATTTATAGAGGATGTAACCCAGTACTTTCCTCATTGAATGCTAAGTATAGAGCTGTCTTTCCTTTTAAGTGATTAACAATCTCAATGCCTTCCTTGAGTCAACTGCAGAAATTGTACAGGAGATATACAATTATTATTTTTAAAATAACCCTTCTATTAATTTATCTTTGAAGATATATTTTAAAAAAAAAAGCACTACAATAGAAAAGATGTACTTATTAAGCTCTGGGTTGTATTAAAGCTTAGCAGCATAGGAAAGTGTATCCATGTATTCCATATTGCTATGTTTAATTGCTTCAAAGTCCCTATTTTTTGTTTGTTTGTTTGCTTTTGTTTTTATTTAATTATGCTTAACTTTTAGGGGCTACTCTGGTCTCAAATTGTTCATGTAACTCCCCAAAGTCTCCCACTCCCCCATGCACAGGGAGTTACTATGCTGTAAGTGCTATTTCAGAAGCTAGTCCATAGATTGAAAGAGCATTGACAAATAAGTCCCCATCCCCTGCACTACTTGTGGTTTGGGAGATGAAAGGGTAAGCAGAAGAGCAGCAAGCAAAGAAGAGGGCCTGGGAAAGCAGGGAGGCACAATGTTGTTTTAATGTTTGCCTTCTAGTTTCTCACTACCCACATGAATACTTCAATTTCTATTTGAATGTGTAATAAATTAAGTACATTTTCCCCAAACTGAGTTTATTTTGCCTGTGACACTATTTGGCAAATAATCTCCCTGTCTTCATCAGAAAACATTTTCCCTCCTTCCTGTTCCACCCATTTTCTCCCCTGATCCTGCTGAGGAAAGGAGGTAGGGGTTGAGCAGCTGGGTGGGAGTTTGGCTGATAGCCATGGCTAAACCATGACATTGTTGCATTACCTAGTACATACTTTCACTTCCTCTCCTTTTAAAAAGCATGGGTTTGAGTTTTGTTCATGATATCTTTACTTTGAAATAGAATGCACTCAATATAAAGAGACTGACAGACTGAAATAAAACATGAAACACATTAGAAATTAAACCATCTTACAAAAGGGAGCACTGTTGTTTGCTTCTGTTTAATTAATTGCATATTCCCTACATAAAAAAAGAAGTCTGAAGATTAAAAAAAATTAAACTTCAACAGACTTCTCAGATCATTCACACACTGACCAAAACACTTATTTTTACTCACATCATTCTCACTTAGGGGAATAACTTCCTCATGCACATCTGTTTGGCAGCCTTTCTTTTTCCCATCTCATCAAGACCCTCTCACAACCAGGGAAATTTGACATTCTAATCTGTGACCTCCCATGATGGGAAAAAAAAAAAAAAGAAAAGATAGTGAAGAAAAGATAATTGGATGTTTGGTGCATCCTCCCCTACACACACTCTCTCCCTTTCCACTCTGATGGGCAATGCGGTTTGTGCTGAGAACACCAGGTGGTTTTGAAGGAGGAACAGTCTGGATGTTCATGTAATGAATGCATTCCAGAGTTTGGGGAGCTGTGATGTTTGGATTGACATTGGTGCAGGCTGGCTTGCAAAAGGGTATATAAAATACCACTGGAGACCAGGTGATCTGGGCAAACTAATGTCACACACAGACGAAGAATCCCTAGATTGGAAGAGACTTCAAGATCATTGAGTCCAGCCCACGCCCCAACACCTCAACTAAACCATGGCACTGAGTGCTGCATCCACTCTTTTTTTAAACACATCCAGGGATGGTGACTCCACTACCTCCCTGAGCAGACCATTGCAGTACTTTATCACTCTTTCTGTAAAAACTTTTTCCTGATATCCAACATATATTTCCCTTGACACAGCTGAGGACTGTGTCCTCTCATTCTGCCAGTTGTTGCCTGGAGAGAGAGACCAACCTCCACTTGACTACACCCACCTTTCAGGAAGTTGTAGAGAGTGATAAGGTCACCTCTGAGTCTCCTTTTCTCCAGGCTAAACAACCCCAGCTCCCTCAGTTGTTCCTCACAGGGCTAGTGTTCCAAGCCCCTCACCAGCCTTGTTGCCTTCCTCTGTCACTGTTAGGTTGGATGTGACATACACACATGATCAGGGTCCAAGAAGAAAAAAGTTTTTTATTCTGCGTGTTCTCCAGCTTATATACTCTTAACAAAGCGTGATCTTAAGCCATTAACTACATCACAATAACTTCTTATATTCATTGGTGCAAAGCAATTAGCGTCAATATAATTGGAGAAAGTTTTACAAAAATTTAATAAGGCACGTATACACATCTACTTATGCATGTAGTCTAGCTTACAAAAATTTTCATGTATCTTTTCTAATCTGTTTCCATGCTGAGGGCCTTGTCTTCTTCCTTGCTATGGATATACTCGAAAATCATCAATTGTTATTTCTTCTATTAACTTAGCTTTGTTTGCAGGCCAGCTGTCAAGCCCCTCCATACTCCTCTGGATGCACTCAAGTGTCCTTCCTAAACTGAGGGGCCAGAACTGGACACAACACTCAAGGTGTGGCCCCACCAGTGCCAAGTACAGGGGAAGGATGACCTCCCTGCTCCTGCTGGCCACACTGTTCCTGACACAGGCCAGGATGCCCTTGGGCTTCTTGGCCACCAGGGCACACTGCTGGCTCATGTTCATGTCAGCCAGTACCCCCAGGTCCCTTTCTGCCTGGGCACTGTTCAGCCATACCATCCCCCCCAGCCTATAACATTGCAGGGGGTTATTGTGGCTAAAATGCAGGACTCAGCACTTGGACTTACTAAATTTCATCTTATTGGACTCTGCCCATCCATCCAACCATTCCAAGTCCAACAAATTGACACACACTCCCAGCTTAGTGTCATCTGCAAATCTACTAATGAAAGGCTCAACACTTTCATCCATGTTGTCAATAAAGATATTGAACAGAACTGGCCCCAGCACAGACTTCTGGGGGACACCACTGCTGACTGGCCCCCAGATGGATGCAGCACCATTCACCATCACTCTCTAGGCCCGGCCATCCAGCCAGTTCTTAACCCAGCAAAGAGTGCTCCTGTCCAAGCCATGGGCTGCCAGCTTTTCCAGGAGTGTGCTGTGGGAGACAGTGTCAAAGGCCTTGCTGAAGTCCAGGTACACAACATCCAGAGCCTTTCCTGCATCCACCAGGCAGGTGACCTGGTCATGAAAGGAGACCAGGTTGGTCAAACATGACCTACCCCTCCTAAACCCATGTTGACTGGGTCTGATATCCTGGCCATCCTGCATGATGACACTCAGTACAAACTGTTCCATAACCTTACCAAGTACTGAGGTCAGGCTGACTGGTCTATAATTACCAGGATTCTCCTTCCCACCCTTTTTGTGAATGGACATCAGATTGTCCAGCTTCTAGTCATCTGGAACCTCACCAGTGAGCCAGGACTGTTGGTAAATGATGGAGAGCGGTGATGTCTCACAAGCTCATCTGCCAGCTCCTTCCTCACCCTGGGAAGGATCCTATCTGGTCCCATAGATTTATGAATATCCAAACAACTCAGCAGTTGTTTGATTGACTCCTCCTGGATAACAGGAAGACCATTCTGCTCCCTGACAACATCTACCAACCCAAGAGGACAAGCTCTCCTGAAGCTGCAAGCACTTCAGGGTGGATTCCTTTAATAGGGAAGACAGGGAACACTGACTTTTGGATAAGTGACTAAAAGTGCTAATATCCTGATAAATACAGAGATACAATCTTGAATTAGCTACATAGGTGCTTTCTAGCTTTATAATTGAGAATTCTGCAGGGCCAAAGACTGTAAACTTACACATTTCTAGACAAACCTTCTTATATTTATAACCCTTTAGATATTGTAATAGATCATAAAACTTTTATTTATATGCTGCATTAGCAATATTTATATACTGTACTAGCAATGAACCTAATCATGATCATGCACACATTGATTGTGTCCTGTTTCTCATATCTGGCTGAGAACACTCCCTCAACTTCTCAGCTGTACCCCTCAGCCCACTGAGTCCCTGACTAAGGGAAAGGTTACAGAAGATCCACACAACAGCCTCAAGCCACAGCAGAGATGTCTGTCTGTATTACACAGATGCATCCTGGAGGAAGCTGGGATACCAGCAATTTGGCCTTCTAGGACAAAAATCTTGTCTTATGCAGCACGCTGTGCTGAGGGGAGGTAGGGTTCATCTCACCTGTCTTAGACTGTCTACAAGTTAGGTATGTAAATCCAAATTTGTTTTCTAGACTGAATCTATACATGATGGTGGCAGAGAAGACGAATCACACTTTCACTACTGAGTACAGATAGAAAAGAGGCAATTTTCTTACCAAACCTATCTTCTACAAAATCATCTCTCTGTAATA